TCTCCACACTCGTATGCCGTGGACTTCACTTTGTGGGCCCATTTCTGAAGATTGGCTCTGCATCTTGTGCTGCCAGAGAGCAGTCTGTTCAGTACCATCCAAGTCACCCAGCCTTTTGTGTGCCCAGGAGGGAGTTTCTCATCCAGTATCAGCCATGGATTGAGGTTCCATGTTTTAGCCTGCCACTTTTGGACTCTTGCTTGCTGAGGTGTTTCTGCAAGTGTCTCTGTAGATCTTAGAAAGCAGTTTCTTAATTTAAAGTGTTGGTATGGCGCTGAGCTCCTGAGCTTGCAGACCGAAAGGTTGCAGATTCGATTCCAGGGAGCGATGTGAGCTTCCACTGTCAGCCCCAGCTTCTGCCAACCTAGCAGTTCAAAAACATGCAAAGTAGGTACTGCTCTGGTGGGAAGGTAATAGCGCTCCATGCAGTCATGCCAGCCACATGACATTGGAGGTGTCTACGGACGACGCCGGCTCTTTGGCTTAGAAATGGAGATGAGCACCACACCCCAGAGTCGGACACGACTGGACTTAATCTCAGGGGGAAACCTTTACCTTTACCTTATGCTAGCTGGTATACAAACAGAGATGGGCCGGAGATGTCACTGCCTTGGTCCTTTTATTGCTGGCTGCTGCTACCTGGCAAATATCAGGTGGTGCGATACTGGCTAAACAGTGTAATTTCTCCAGTGGTCTGGGGCATAGACATCCAGTGATAATGTGGCACGTCTCATTAAGAGCCACATCCACTGTTTTAATGTGGTGATATGTGTTCCACACTGGGCCTGGAATTCTGGGGGTGCATCTACACTGTAAAATTAATGCAGTTTGACCCCACTTTAACTGTTGTGGCTCTATGCTAAGGAGTTGTAATTTTCTAAAAGTCATGCTACCCCTCTATTCTGCCTTGGCCAGACCACACTTGGAAGCACACTGTGTCCAATTCTGAGTACTGCAATTGAAGGGAGGTGTTGATAAGCTGGAATGTGTCCAGAGGAGGGTGACTCAAATGATCAAGGGTCTGGAGAATAAGCCCTATGAGGAGCGGCTTAAAGAGCTGGGCATGTTTATCCTGGAGAAGAGAAGGCTGAGAGGAGACATGATGAGGGCCATGGATAAAGATGTGAGGGGAAGTCATAGGAAGGAGGGCGCAAGCTTGTTTTCTGCTGCTTTGGAGACTAGGATGCACAATAATGGCTTCAAACTACAGGAAAGGAGAGTCCATCTGAACATTAAGAAGAACTTCCTGAGAGCAGTTCGGCAGTAGAACTCTCTGTCCCTAAGTGTGGTGGAAGCTCCTTTTTTGGAGGCTTTTAAACAGAGGCTGGATGGTCACCTGTTGGAGGTGCTTTGAATGCAATTTTCCTGCTTCTTGGCAGGGGTTGGACTGGATGGCCCACGAGGTCTCTTCCAACTCTGAGGATGCTTGCCATTGATGCAGGCGAAATGTCAGGAGAGAATGCCTCTAGCACATGGCCATATAGCCCGAAAAACCCAGACTCAGGTTAGCTTTCTCTTCTGGCGGGATTCGAACCTGAGTCCTGGGGAACTCTATTGCGTCAAAGGTACTAGTCGTAGCCTTAACCACTGAGCCACGACTGCTCTCATGCATTCCTCTTCAGACCCTCAGAGACATTAACACGGGCGTGACCCTTTCTTTCTCCACCAGCTCCTAAGGGAGGGAGAATGAGCCAGAAGCTCCCACACAAAACAAGAAGCCTGAGCTGGGATGGTTCAAGACTGAGGACACACTCTCCCTGAGCCCCAGCCCTTTAAGGATTTGAAGTCTATGTCAAGCTAGGCTGCATTTAGGAAATGCAAAGGCGCCCAAAGGGGGAGCTCACGGGTTTCCCTTATTTGAAAGGCTAATTTGGAACCGCAATCCCGAGTATCAGTTGTGGGATTTCTACGTGGCTGCAGAATTAATGCAGTTTGACACCACTTTGTCTGCCCTGACTCAAGGCTATGGAATCCTTGGAGCTGTAGTTTGGTGAGGCACCAGCCCTCTCTGGCAGAGAAGGCGAACTAAAGATCTTACAAAACTACAGCTCCCATGGTTCCATCTCATTGAGTGCTGTCAAAGTGCATTAGTTCTACAGTATAGATGCATCCTTGCTTGTCCTAATAGAGAGGACGAATATTCAAAGCTTTGAAACTCTGAACTTCCAAGCAATATGGTTGATATTTAAGGCCTTGTGGGCGAATACCAGAATGGCCGAGTGGTTAAGGCGTTGGACTTAAGTTCCAATGGAGGTATGTCTTCGTGGGTTCAAACCCCACTTCTGGTAAGGATGGCTTTTTAAATCCACTTGCGTCCCCTTCTAATTAACTGAGCTCTGTCCTCTGCTCCGCAGCTAAGTTCTACTTTCTGGGAAAGGTTTTAAGGGACCTCTCAACCTCTGAGGATGCCTGCTATCGATGCAGGTGAAACGTCAGGAGAGAATGCTTCTGGGAGAAGCCCAGAAAACTTAAAGCAACCCAGTGATTCTGGCCACAAAAGCCTTTGACAACACATTTTTAAGAGGCACAATCTACACCAGGGGTCCCCAAACTAAGGCCCAGGGGGCGGATATGGCCCTCCAAGATCATTTACCTGGCCCTCACTCAGGGTCAACCTAAGTCTGAAATGACTTGAAAGCACACAACAACAACAACAACAACAACAACAATCCTATCTCATCAGCCAAAAGCAGGCCCACACTTCCAATTGAAACACTAATAAGTTTATATTTGTTAAAATTGTTCTTCATTTTGTTTAATTGTTTTAAAGTGTTTTTTGCACTACAAATAAGATATGTGCAATGTGCATAGGAATTAATTCATGTTTTTTTAAAAAAATTATAATCCGGCCCTCCAATAGTTTGAGGGACTTTGACCAGGCCTTCTGTTTAAAAAGTTTGAAGACCCCTGATCTACACTATCTAACGGTGCTCCATGCAGTCATGCCGGCCACGTGACCTTGGAGGTGTTTATGAACAACGCCGGCTCTTCAGCTTAGAAATTGAGATGAGCACCACACTCCAGAGTCAAACTTGACTGAACTTAATGTCAGGGGACAACCTTTACCTAACCTATCTACATTGTGGTATTAATGCAGTTTGACAGCACTTGAATTGTAATGGCTCAGTCCTATGGAATCCTAGGATTTGTAGTTTCCCAGGTAGTTCATGGAGAATGCTTTTTAAAAGAAAAATTATAGTACTTCTGGAGTGCATCTATACTGTCGAATCAATGCAGTTTGATATCACTTTTAGCTTTCTCTGCCTCACCAGAACACAACTCCCATGATTCCACAGCATTGAGCCATAGCAGTTCAAGCGGTATCAATTGTTTATTGATACCTTCAACAGAAGTTTTGTTTACAAAGCTGGGATCAAGTGTCAGTGTAATCCCGGATTCTCTAAGTCAAGATGGGAAAATATGGGGTCTTCCAGATGCTGTTTGACTGTGAGTCATAGGTTGCATCTACACTATTTTAATCACCATGGCTCATTGCTATGAAATCCTGGAAGTTTTGGCAAGGAACTAGTACTCTTTGGCAGAGAAGGCTTAGGTAGATTTTAGGTAGATAAAGGTTTTCCCCTGCCCAGGGTCGTAGCCAGAAAAATTTGGGGGGGGGGGTTGAAAATTTAGGGGTTTTAATTTTTATTTTCAGCGGGGCGGGGTTGAAACCCGCCTCCTAGCTCACGCTGAAGCAAAGAGCACAGCAGGGGGCAGAGCAGCCTTCAATAGCCTGCAGCTCCGCCCCTGTCAACCACCTCCACCAAGTCTGGCCTCCTTAATGAGAGCATTCAACACACACACACCCATCTTGGTTGCTTCACTACATCGGCTATTGCTGCAAGTAATGACAGTGTGAATAAATTGTCAATATTTGCTTGAGATAGTGCTTGCAGTTCTGGAGGGACTCTTAATTTTTTGCGTCTCATAGACTTAGCATGGGGATTTGGTTAACCAGTTAAAATTCATGAGTAAACCAGGTTTTTTTTTTAACCTGAAAAATTTTGTACTTAAAATTGGTCATGTTGGGCATCTGCGGCAAGTTTGCTGCAAACACATCATCAGTGGGTTTTATTGTGTTCTCTAGCTGCAGGATGAACTACAACTCCTACATGATGGGTCAGTTCCCTCAAACATCTCCAGTAGATTCAGTTGGTCATGCGTGTTCTGTATGCCAAGTTTGATCCAGGTCCATTGTCTGTGAGGAGTCACAGTTTCTCTGGATGTAGTTGAACTACAATTCCCAAAAATCAACGTCAATCCCTCCCAAACCCTTCCAATATTAAAATTGGGCATATCAGATATGCATACCACATTTGGTCCAGATCCATCATAATTTGGGTTCACAGTGCTCTCTGGATGTAGATGAACTACAATACACCCAAATCAAGGTGAATCCCCCTCAAAGCTCTCCAGCACTTTTTGTTGGTCATGGGGGTTCTGTATGCAAAATTAGATCCAGGTCCATCATTGATGGGGTTCAGAATGCTCTTTGCTACAGCTCAAAAATGTCAAGGTCAATTTCCACCAAACTCCACCAGTATTCAAATTTGGGCATATTGGGTATGTGTGTTAAGTTTGGTCTAGATCCATCGTTGTTTGGTTTCATAGTGCTCTCTGGATGTAGGTGAACAACACCTCCTATAAATCAAGATCAATCCCCCCCCCCCCCAAAAATGTCCAGTATTATTTTTTTTGTTGATCATGATGGTTCTGTGTGCCAAATTTCATCCAGGTCCATTGTCAGTGGGGGTCAGAGTGCTCTGTCTTGATGCAGGGTGCTCTACAACTTCTATTATGTTGAGTCAGTCCCCCAAATCCCTCCAGTATGTTCAGTTGCTGATCAGTTCCATTCTGTTTGCTGTGCGCCATATAAAAGAGTAGAAAAGGATTAAGAGAGAAGCAGTGGGTAGGATCATGCAAATGCCACATCAATGGAGACAGTAAGAAACACTGAGATGTCTGTGGTGGAGGAAACACATAAAATCAAGGTTGAAATTGTCTCTGTATTAATTCACTTGGGTGATGGGCAGTATTGTGTTTGTGGAGGACAATGGTAGGGGTTGCCAGCTCTTGAACATATTGACAGTGCTGTCTATAACCTTCAGTGTCATTGGAAGGAGGGTCTTTGGTGGCTCCTCACTGGGGGAGGTCATAGTTGTTTATGGGAGTGGGAGCCCCAGCCACATACATACTTTTACTTTTGTTATGGATCTAGACCTAGACTAGATAAGGCTCACTAGCAATTAGGGAAAAGGAGTTTAATTTTCACACATTTTAGCTTTAGATTCAGTACATGGGGTTGTATTTGAAAAATCATTCTTCACAATCTTGTCATGTTTTCAGAAATGATCCACAGAGAAGCACAAGTCAATGTGGCTGTTAGAGAAAGAAGAAAGATTTCAACCCAATCTATGGAGCCGGAGTGAAGTTATCTCTGTCCCTTTTTCCTTGAGAGGGACTCCGTATCAGGCGTAGGAGGCACAGCACCTACTGTTAAAGGAAGAAGAAAAGAGAGACAGCTGTAGATCGGATTGAAAATAGTATAGCAAATCCATTTGCATAAGTATTCTTATTTAATTAAAGGTGGCAGTGTAGACTCATATAGTACATGAAATTGCGTTGACAGGGCCCTTCCAAACATGGCTCAAAACCTAGAAGTAACCAGAATAAAAGTGGGAGTGGCTAAATGATGTTTAACCAAAGTGCGGGTGGAATCAGGTTAACAGCTGAAAAGCATGTGTTAAAAAGGTGCACTTAAAACCTGATTTTGCTCCAAAAATGCACACCTTCACATAACTGTATACCCCTGTAATCATGCAAAACATGTGCTTTCCTTCCCTTCTCCCTGCTCAAGCACACATGCACATTTTAAAATCTCAAAACAGCTGAGCCGTGAAAAAATTGAGCCATGAAGACACAGGTAGCTCAAGAAACACAAGTGAAAGCAGTTAGAACTCTCTGAAACTATTCCTTTCTTTCAATCTTTATAATATTAAACAAGGCTTGAATTTAGAGTTGGGTGAGGAAAGAGAATAAAATATCAGCTTGTGTGTACATTAATATATTTGCATGTACACATATGAGGTCCAGTGCATCTTTCAGAGATTTCTTTTTTTAAAAACTTCAAATGGATGTCCCCCGTCTGCCCTCCATCCTGATCTGCTTCAAAGCAAGATGTGAGGACGCCAGGGGAACATTTCCCAGGACTGACAGGTCTGTGTATGGACCTGCTGTCAGGTCCCAAGTTTTTTTTTCACCCCAGTTTCAAAACCCGTATTTGGTGCTGTCTGGAAGTGCTCTCAGTTAACATTTGATACTGGAAGCAGAAATAACATGGAAAGAATATGCCTAGGTCTCTATACCACAAAAAAGACCAGTCCAATATCTTTCAGCAATCTTCTACCTCCAAAGCTATTGTTATGCATATGTAGAATGAAATGACCAGGCCAAGAAAGATTTTCATAAGTAAACAGGACATTTCAAACATTCTAGAAATCAGTTAACCACATTCAAAATGCGTCTGAGAATGAAGTTTTTTGGGCGTTTTTTAGCTTCTGTTTAACTTACTGGTTGCAGACAGGCCCAAACAACTACAGTAGGATTGGCTAGAGGAGAGTCCAAGACTCTTGGAAGGAAAGCGTATTGCTTTGTTTATGGAATACATGCTGCTGCTGCAACACAACACACAAAACCTGTGCTTCTGCATCATTGCTCTAGCATCCTCCTTAGTGCTGATGCTGCTAAAAAAACTAACAGATCAGAGGACGAGGAAAGGGAGGATGCTAGATGAGGGTAAAATCACTTGGTTAAAGAAAAAAGTTTCTTTGTCAGAGGGTTTGTTAACTGAGGTGTGGTGTATAGTTCTGAAGGGAGCAAATGCAGTTCCTACCCATTTCTCAAGTAGTACTTGCAAACAGATGGGAATTTCCATGAGACAACATAGTCATTCCAGGTGACATGTCCTGAAAGAGATAGAGAAAGTGCAAATTGATAGTTGTTTGGAATAAATAAAGACCAGACTACCTTCCAAATGTGTTGGAATACAAGTTAGTTGCTCAGTGAATTGGGTGGAACTTAAGATACACACAGTGACAGCTTGGAAGTACTGCTCTAGGAAGCATCCAGCAGTGAAATGGCTGGTTCCATTTAAAACTAACTTGTTGATGTTGCCACCAATATACAGCTTTCCCAATTTTAGCTGCTGCTTCCTTTCTTCTGGGTCACCCTCAGTTTTGTCTCCCCCTCCCTTTACCCTGTGAAGAGTGAGATCCCCCTGCCATCTCCCATGGCTGGAGACTATAGAATCATTGCGTTGGAAGAGACCTCGTGGGCCATCCACTTAAACCCCCTGCTGCTGAACAGCTCCCACAGTCAGGAAGTTCTTCCTCATGTTCAAGTGGAATCTCCTTTCCTGTAGTTTGAAACCATTGTTCCTCATCCTAGTCTCCAGGGCAGCAGAAGGCAAACCTGCTCTCTCCCTCCCTATGATATCCCCCTCACATATTTGTATATGACCCTCATCATGCCCCCTCTCAGCCTTCTCTTCTTCAGGCTAAACATGCTTGGCTCTTTAAGCTGCTCCTCATAGGGCTTGTTTCCAGACCCTTGATAATTTTTGTCACCCTCCTTTGGATGTATTCCGGCTTGTCAACATTTCCCTTCAATGGTGATGCCCAGAATTGGACACAGTGTGCTTCCAGGTGTGGTCTGAACAAGGCAGAATAGAGGGATAGCATGACTTCCCTGGATCTAGACACTAGTCTCCTATTTATGCAGTGGTGCTCCTAGTCTAACATGGCACAGTGGGGCAGGGAGGTTAGCAAGTTGGCTGCCTCAATCCACACATGAGTAACATGAAGTGGAGGGGCTGTGACCCCCATATGATGAAGTGGGTTTCCACCTTAAGCACCAGGAGAGCTTGAGCCAACCTTGGGTTTGAGCACATTGAGATCAGAGAAGTTTATTAAATGCTATTTTCTTACCATTTTCCAAATGCCAGGAACCCAGGTAGTGTTCTCCAGCCAGTCCATCAGGCTGATTAGGAGGAAATGTCTGGAAATCAAAACTGGAACCATCTGTCCACACAAAGTTTCCCTCCTGTGGAAAGATCCAAAAGGTATTGTTGTGGGTCTTCAAGTCATTTCTTATTTGTAAGTGTAAAGCCCTGTCATGGGTGCTCTTGACAGAATTTGTTCAGAAAGGGCCTGCTCTTGCCTTCCTCTGAGGATGAGGGAGTGGGACTTGTCCCAGGTTAACCAATGGGTTTCCATGGTGGAGCAGGGAATTGGACCCTGGGCTGTAATGCTAGTCTTTTCACTAACAATCCACTATTGGCAAAGGAAGATTACCTTTACACCTAAGGTTATAGGAAAACATATATTTAATTTGGAAGTAAAAGAGGGGTGAATGGAAAAAGAAAAAAAAAGACTGTAACAACTATTTTACTACTAGTAGATACAGAAGGCACACGCTGAGTTACAACACTTAATGGATTTTCTTTTAGCACGGCTTGCCACATATATAAACTCTCTTCTTCAACTGCAGTACAGGGCAATGTGACTATTTCATTGAAAACTCAGCGGTAAGTCACAATTAACTTGGCAAGACATGTCTGACTCCTTAAAACACACACAAAGCCTCAGCTTCTGTACATTTCAACATATCAGTTGAAATGTACAGAAACTACAGTTGGCCCCAAAGTAGAAGTTTTGCAAGTAATTTCCCCCTCTGCAATATTTTTTGAGCAAGACAAGCATTTTGTGCAACGTTTCTCCTAATTTAGGCATTATTCTATGCATTTTTGGCTGGGGAATAGAATCATAGAGTTGGAAGAGACCTCACGGGCCATCCAGTCCAACCCCCTGCCAAGAAGCAGGAAAATTGCATTGAAAGTACCCCCGACAGATGGCCATCCAGCCTCTGTTTAAAAGCTTCCAAAGAAGGAGCCTCTACCACAAAGTGTAAATTTCAGAATTGTTTTGCCTACTAACTAGTTTGGAGAAGTAACAGTATTAGTTCACTATTGTTGTTGTTCATTCGTTCAGTCGTCTCCGACTCTTCGTGACCTCATGGACCAGCCTACGCCAGAGCTCCCTGGCGGCCGTTACCACCCCCAGCTCCTCAAGGTCAGTCCAGTCACTTCAAGGATGCCATCCATCCATCTTGCCCTTGGTCGGCCCCTCTTCCTTTTGCCTTCCACTTTCCCCAGCATAATTGTCTTCTCTAGGCTTTCCTGTCTCCTGATGATGTGGCCAAAGTACTTCAACTTTGTCTCTAGTATCTTTCCCTCCAGTGAGCAGTCGGGCTTTATTTCCTGGAGGATGGACTGGTTGGATCTTCTCGCAGTCCAAGGCACTCTCAGCACTTTCCTCCAACACCACAGCTCAAAAGCATCGATCTTCCTTCGCTCAGCCTTCCCTAAGGTCCAGCTCTCACATCCGTAGGTTACTACAGGGAATACCATGGCTTTGACAAGGCGGATCTTTGTTGCCAGTCTGATGTCTCTACTCTTCACTATTTTATCGAGATTGGACATTGCTCTCCTCCCAAGAAGTAAGCGTCTTCTGATTTCCTGGCTACAGTCTGCATCTGCAGTAATCTTTGCACCTAGAAATACAAAGTCTGTCACGGCCTCCACGGTGTCTCCCTCTATTTTCCAGTTGTCAATCATTCTTGTTGCCATAATCTTGGTTTTTTTGACGTTTAGCTGCAACCCGGCTTTTGCGCTTTCTTCTTTCACCTTGATTAGAAGGCTCCTCAGCTCCTCCTCGCTTTCGGCCATCAGAGTGGTGTCACCTGCATATCTGAGGTTGTTAATGTTTCTTCCAGCAATTTTCACCCCAGCTTTGCATTCATCCAGCCCCGCACATCCTCGCATGATGTGTTCTGCATACAAGTTAAAAAGGTTGGGTGAGAGTATGCAGCCTTGCCGGACGCCTTTCCCAATCTTGAACCAGTCTGTTGTTCCGTGGTCAGTTCTGACTGTTGCTCCTTGGTCCTTGTACAGATTCCTCAGGAGAGAGGGACAAGGTGGCTTGGGATGCCCATCCCACTAAGAACTTGCCACAATTTATTATGATCCACACAGTCAAAGGCTTTAGAATAGTCAATGAAGCAGAAGTAGATGTTTTTCTGAAACTCCCTGCCTTTCTCCATTATCCAGCGGATATTGGCAATTTTGTCCTCTCGTTCCTCTGCCTTTTCTAAACCCAGCTTGTACATCTGGCAACTCTCGCTCCATGTATCTGGAGTCTTCCTTGCAGGATCTTGAGCATTACCTTACTGGCATGAGAAATAAGGGCCACTGTACGGAAGTTTGAGCAGTCTTTCGCATTTCCCTTCTTTGGTATGGGGATATAAGTTGATTTTTTCCAGTCTGATGGCCATTCTTGTGTTTTCCATATTTGCTGGCAAATGGCATGCATCACCTTGACAGCATCATCTTTTAAGATTTTAAACAGTTCAGCTGGGATCCCGTCGTCTCCTGCTGCCTTGTTGTTAGCAATTAAGGCCCATTCAACTTCACTCCTCAGGATGTCTGGTTCTAATTCATTCACCACACCGTCATAACTATCCTCAATATTATTATCCTTCCTATACAGATCTTCTGTATAGTCTCGCCACCTTCTCTTGATCTCTTCAGCTTCTGTTAGGTCCCTGCCATCTTTGTTTCTTATCATACCAATTTTTGCCTGAAATTTACCTCCAATGTTTCTAATTTTCTGGAAGAGGTCTCTTGTCCTTCCTATTCTGTTGTCTTCCTCCACTTCCATGCATTGCTTATTTAAAAATAGTTCCTTATCTCTTCTGGCTAACCTCTGGAATTGAGCATTTAACTGGGCATATCTCCCCTTTTCACTGTTTCCTTTTGCTTTCCTCCTTTCTTGGGCTACTTCCAGTGTCTCAGCAGACAACCATTTTGCCTTCTTGGTTTTCTTTTTCTTTGGAACGTACTTTGTTGCCGCCTCCTGAACAATGTCGCGGACTTCTGTCCATAGTTCTTCTGGGACTCTGTTTACTAAATCTAGTCCTTCAAATCTGTTCTTCACTTCCACTGTATATTCGCTAGGAATGTTAGTGAGATCATATCTAACTGGTCTGTGTATTTTCCCTGATCTCTTTAGTTTTATTCTAAATTTGGCAATAAGAAGTTCGTGATCTGAGCTACAGTCAGCCCCAGGTCTTGTTTTCACCGACTGGATGGATGTCCGCCACCTTTGGCTGCAAAGGATGTAGTCAAGCTGATTTCGGTGTTGACCATCTGGTGAGGTCCATGTATAAAGCCGTCTTTTAGGTTGTTGGAAGAGAGTATTCGTTATACACAGCGAGTTTTCCTGGCAAAATTCTATCAGCCTGCGTCCCGCTTCATTTTGTTCTCCCAGACCATGCTTGCCTGTGATCCCAGTTGTCATTTGACTTCCCACCTTGGCATTCCAGTCTACTGTAATGAAAATAATGTCTCTTTTTGGTGTATTATCCAGTAGGTCCTGCAGATCCTCATAGAACTGATCTACTTCTGCTTCTTCAGCAGCTGTGGTTGGGGCATATATTTGGATCACTGTAATGTTGAAAGGCTTTCCTTGCACTCGAACTGAGATCATTCTGTCATTTTTTGGGTTGTATCCAAGCACCGCTTTAGCGAATTTCTTATTAATTATGAAGGCTACTCTATTTCTTCGATGTTCCTCTTGTCCGCAGTAGTAGATCTGGTGGTCATCTGATGTGAAGTGGCCCATTCCAGTCCATTTCAGTTCGCTGACCCCCAGAATGTCTATCTTTAGTCTTGACATCTCACCAATAACAACATCCAATTTGCCCTGGCTCATAGATCTTACATTCCAGGTTCCTATGGTGTGTTGATCTTTAGAGCATCGGATTCGTCGTTCACCTCCAGTACCGTCGGCCGCTAGCCTTCCTTTCGGCTTTGAGCTAGCTGCGTCATCACATCTGGGGCTAGTTGAACTTATCCTCTGCTCCTCCCCAGTAGCATTTTGGCCATCTTCCGACCTGGGAGTCCCAACTTCCAATGGCATACCGACATATCTCTGGTTGTACTGGTCCATTTAGTTTTCTTGGCAAGGATACTGGAGTGGTTTGCCATTGCCTTCCCCAGGGATCACGCTTGGTCTGACCTCTCTGCCACAACCGTCCCGTCTTGGGTGGCCCTTCACGGTTTCGCTCATGACATCATTGAGGTGCTCAAGCTCCAGCGCCCCGACAAGGCGGTGATCCTTTGCTGGAGTTCACTATTACTGCACATTAATTCACATGAAAATCTGGACTGAATATTTACTTCCCGATCGTAGGTAAGAGGACAAAACCTCATTTACATTTACTCAAGGTCTTGTGAACCTCATAAGACAGAGGTGAAATCTTAATACCATAAAACTTGGTATACTATTTTTAAAGTTTAAGCTTTGGTAATTCTGAATAATTGCTTTGGTATACGTATACCTTGAAAGTGTCATGAGCACCAATCCAGTAAGCCTTTCCTTTGGTGTAATCCAGTGGCTGTCCCATCAGATGAAAAATGAAGTCATTTTCTTCTCCGCTGTGGATGGAGGCGAGGTGGGCATTCGTGCCATAACTCTGACAAGCCATCTGGAGAGAATTCACAGAGAAACTGACCTTCATGTTTATCCCCAAGAGCCCGTATCAATTTCACCATAATAGCAGTTACTAGAATTTTCAGCATTATACATCTAGGTAGTTTGGAAATAATACATATTGGGCAGCAGGGTGGGGGGAGGGAAGAGTACAGTAGAGTCTCATTTATCTGACACAAATGGGCCGTCAGAACGTCAGATAAAACAAAAATGGTTGGATAAGCGAGACTCTTCTGTATTTGTTTTATTACTATAAAACTGGACCCAACACTAGATATAATCAAAAGGCATTGGGTGTCACTTGTTTGTGCATAAAAGGTAAGTGGCCCCAGGATAGAGTTTGCAAGTATAAAAGAGAGTAGGCAGGTTGTGTATGTATATGTTGGCCCATCAGGGTGAGCAGAGACACCAGGTGACATATTGAAGATACTTTTCTATTATTACTGTAAGTGAATGGTTGATTAGTGGGATTTGCAACTGAGCACAATTCAAAGTGCTAGCTTTAGCCTATAAAACCCTAAACTGTCCGAACGTATTTCCTCCTATGGACCATCTAGGAGCTTAAGATCATCTGGGGAGGCCCTGCTCTTGATTCCGGCTGCCTCACAAATACAATTGGCAGAGACGAAGAACAGGGTCTTCTTAGTGGTGGCCCCCCGGCTATGGAACTCCCTCCCCAGGGATATTAGATCAGCCCCCTCCATCCTGACTTTCCGAAAAAAAGTAAAGACCTGGCTCTTCGAGCAAGCTTTTGAGAATGCAGCGGAATAGATAACATGGAACTATGAATGATGAAAATGGAATGGCCAGACGATATTACTGGATAACGTTTTAAAGATGATGATATGCTTTAACGGTTTTTATTTATGTTTTATATTGTAAAGTTGATTGTTTTAATGGCACTTTTATGAATGCCTGACATTGAATTGTGCCAATCTGTAACCCACCTTGAGTCGCCGTATGGCTGAGAAAGGCAGGCTATAAATATCATAAATAAATAAATAATGGGACATTTTATTTGGAAGTCCAGTTGCATATTCTGTTTTTGGGGATTCCAGGGGATGGGAGCAACCACTAAAAAGGCTCTCCCTTTTCTTTTAACAAATTGGGCCTTTGATGGCGATGGGACCAAGAGGAAGCCACCTCCTCTAGATATTCTGTTTTCAGGGATTCCAGAGGATGGGAGCAACCACTAAAAAGGCTCCTCACTTTCTCCTCACAAAGTAGGCCTTGCTTGGCGGTGGGATCAAGAGGAAGCCACCTCCTCTAGATCTTAAGATTCTGGAATGTTGATATAGGAAGATAATAGTCTTTCAATTAGTCTGGACCTAAGATATATAGGGCTTTATAGGTCATGACCAGCTCTTTGAAATGTGCCCAAAGAAAAACCGGTGATACTGTTTTTACAAGCAAGTTGCATGCTCCCTTGTTGAAAATGTGGGTGCTCCATTTCTCATTTCTCCCTTGAAATCTCTCACTTGCCTCAGCATCATTCCAGTTCTTTGGTTGCTTCTCATTTTTATAACAGGCGTCCATATACTGCACCCAGCCAGGCTCACAAAAGCCACTGGCACAAAGGCACGTTTGGCAAGAGATACCTAGTGCAGAAAGAAGATGGAGCAAAGAGGTTAAGAAGAAATACCAGTTTTAGATAGCATTGCAATTCTGTGTATTACACTCTCATCACTTGTATATGTCCTGTTCCCCACCCACCCATTTACAAGAAGTTCCAGGGACTAACAGGGTAATTATCAATGAAAGAATACTACCCCATTCCTTCTTTGGAAGTATATTTCCCCCAATTCCCCCTTTATGGCTGAGACAGACCTTAATCTTTAGTATGTCTTAAATGCTTAGTTCAGTGTGTTACCTTCAGTATTGAAAATCTCTCTTTAGAGGCTCTTCCTTCCTTGGAAAATTTCCATACAAAAGCAAGATTTGTCCAATGCCAGGTATGAACAAAAAGAAACCCCCAGTGGCGCAATGGGCCAAAGCCTTGTCCCAGCAGGACTGAAGACCAACAGGACAGAGGTTCAAATCCAGGGAGAGCACAGATGAGCTCCCTCTATCAGCTCCAACTCCCCATGCGGGAACATGAGAGAAGCCTCCCACAAGGATGATAAAACATCAAAACACCTGGGTGTCCCCTGGACAACGTCCTTGCAGAGAGCCAATTCTCTCACACCAGAAGCAACTTGCAGTTTCTCAAGTCACTCCTGACACGAAAAAAGAAAACTTTCAAAAAGGGCCCAGGTCTAACAGAAAAAATATATAATGGGTTAGGCATTTGTACAGAGACTGCTTCCATGATCAAGAAGGAATTTTAGGATGTTTTTATGGCTGTAATACTAAGGTTATTTCCTAGGAAGTTGTTTTCACAAGTGAATTGTGTCCATCTCACTTCTTAATTGACTGGGAAAATGGGCATTTAAAGACTCTCTTCAGAGTCCCTAATGTTATCTTCTTTTGTCCCCAATTTGTTTCTGCATTTCACTCATATTGCAAAAGGTTTATATAAAAAGCAATTAGTTACTGTAAAAATAGTCACTGTTACAATTTTATGTTAAAAAAATCTTTAGTTTTTCATTGCTCAAAGGTAACTAAAATCATAAATTTTAAGTCACATTATAATCCAGATGGCAACACAAGTGAGTACTTAAAGTGACAATGTTATCTCTGCCTATTTATGGAGTCCACACACTTTTACATATGAAACTAATTACATGTTCTGTTACACCAGAAAAGGATTGATGTTATCAATTACTGAGGGTGCATCTGCACTGTAAAATTAATGTAGTTTTCACCACTTTAACCACCAGTGGCCAGTTCTGGGCACTGCAGTTGAAGGGAGATGTCGACAAGCTGGAATGTGTTTAGAAGAGGGCAACTAAAATGATCAAGAGTCTGGAAAACAAGCCCTATGAGGAGTGACATAAAGAGCTGGGCATGTTTAGCCTGCAGAAGAGAAGGCTGAGAGAAGACATGATGGCCACTAATAAATATGTGAGGGGAAGTGACAGGGAGGAGGGAGCTGCCCTGGAGACTAGGACACAGAACAATGGTTTCAAACTATAGGAAAGGAGATTCCACCTGAACATTAGAAAGAACTTCCTAACTGCGAGAGTTGTTCAGCAGTGGAACTCTCTGCCCTGGAGCAGGCAGAGAGTTGAAGGCTTTTAAACAGAGGCTGGATGGCTATCTGTTGAGGGTGCTTGTGCTTTGAATGCGATTTTCCTGCTTCTTGGAAGGGGGTTGGATTGGATGGCCCATGAGGCCTCTTCCAACTCTGATTCTATGATTCTAATGCTACAGTATAGATATATCCTTACTTACAATCATTAGGTAATTTAACTATAAGGTCATTTATTGGGAGCAGAAATATATTATAAACTGTTTATCGGTAGCAAGTTCCTACCGTACTCTGATTTCCCATTTCAGTGGCTGCTCCATAATATTGTGAACCAGATAAATTCACTTGTCTGTTAATTTATGAGAAGCCTTCACGCTCTTTTTCTCCCTGTTCAGAACGGACCCACTTTGAACTCACCATGAATGAAGGTCAGAAGAAAGGCACTAAGCAATGCCCAGGACCCCATTTCTGGAGATGCAACAAAGAAGCGAGGAAGCCACAAATGAAACTGTTCTCTGGTTGAGGCTGGGCAGGAATGGGGAGGAATGGAGATGGGCAGCAGTTTTTGAAGGAGATGTAAGTACAGGAAGTAAAGGTTATGCAAACTAGGGAGATTCTACTATTTCACACAGATTGCTGTTCCTTATTGGGTTTCTTAAATAAATAGGCATGAGCAGAGTCAGTAGACCTTAGGTACTGTCAATTCCAGCACCCGATTGATATAAGCTTCCCTTCCGTATTGCTCAATGTTTGCCTATTTCTTTTCATTTATCATTCATCTGTCGCTGCCCTGAAATGCTGAGTAAACAGGATTATATTTTTAGTGGGGGTGAGTTTGGGGGGATTCTAAGCCACCAATACACAGAGAAAAGTGAACAAAAAACAATAGCAGGTTATCTGTCACTGACATTGTGTATGTATGGCTGTGTGTACCGTAAAGTTGCCTGTTGATTTATTATGACCCCATGAATTTCACCTCTGCAACATTTCACAGATGCAGACTGGGATATGGTTGGCCAAGGAACACCAGAGTGTAGTCAAGAGAGAAATGTTATTAATGATGAAGAACAGAAGAAAAGGCTGCAGCAGTTTGCTTTTGCTTGATCCTGCTGAAATGGGTAAGAGTCTGCCTTCCCTCTAGTTCCTTCGGGGTTCATTAAGTGAAAACTACTCTTGCATATTGAACTCAAGATGGATTTACACTGTCCTATAACCCAGGATCTTATCCCAGATCTGCTTATCCTAAATTATCTGGCAGTATAGACTCAGGCCACTTCTACACTGCCATTTAATCCAGATTATCAAAGCAGATAATCCACATTATTTGCTTTGAACTGGATTATATGAGTCTACACTGCTGATGTGTTTGTGGCATATGAAAGGGATCTACTGGGGTGATTTTTTAAAAAATTGTACATCTTTAACAGAGCTTCTACAATAAGATTAATAAAGGATATTTCCAATTTTCTTTTGCTTGATGAGAAATAGTGTCGCATTGTAAAATCACAAAGATTTCTTGAAGTAAGCCCCAAAGGCACAAAATGTGCAAAAAATTGCAGTTATTCATTCTTGCATGCAAGAAAGGAATAAGGAAGTATTTTGTGCCTTTATCTCCAGTGTGCCTAAACCATAATCACAGGTTGAGGTTGTGAGTGCAATTTGATAGCTAGTGGCTTCTGAGATTACAGGGACAACCACTTGTAGCTCAGTCTTTCTGGCTAAGTAAAAAGTTCAGCAAGTGGCCGAACAAGGTTATGTGGTTCTTCCAGTAATCCTCTTCCTCTGCCTAACAAACATAGTATTATAAAGTTTTTCTCTAGTTAAAATTGTGATCTGAGTGAGTAGTTTCCTGCAGGGTGGATGTGACACTCAAATGAATCACTGCAAAACTAACAAAAAGTTAAGGCATGGGTGGAGGGAGGATAGTAGTCTGCATGTCAAAACGGCCCCCTCCATTTTGGGACAGTGTAGTATTTGGGCTGGTTTGCAAGCACACAATATTCGGTCCAGGTGGATGTATATATCTTATCCTATTGCAATGAGATTTGGGACTGGATGGTCCACTAGAGGTGCCTGACTAGAATTGAGATTCCAACAAGGATCAGGCAAATTGATTGACATTATTGAAACCGCCTACATAGGTCTAGCTCAGTCATTTCTATTTTGTTAAATAACTATTGGAGTGGGAAGGCTCAGGTGTGCAGTTGTGGCAGATCTTGTCCAGACATTACTTCCAGCCATGAGTTTTATCATGAAATCAACTGCCCCGAGCTTGGGTTTGCCCATACCTGATCTAGAAGCATAGTCTAAAGCACAAACCACTACACCAGACTGGCTTCAATATCAGGTATCTTTGCAACATTCACAAACTGAAAGTATATCCCTTAGCTATCATTTACTTCATTTTTCATTTATATTATTTTGTGTCCTGCCTTTCTCTTTGTTCAGGACCCAAGGTGGCTCAGGCATTGATCTGTCTGCTCCAATAACATACTATTTATTGCTGGTAAAATCTGCATGTACATGGTGTCCTCCAAAAAGATATCACTTTTGCTTCTGATAGTAGCTATGGTGATTGTTTGAAGGTTGGGTATATTGAAGAATAAATGTAATAATGTTGGCCAGAGTTACAAATTCCACCTTTAATTAAAATTTTAATTTGTCGTCCCTGCACAGCACTTTTCACATTGTTGAAGCACAGCATTGCAGACAGCAAATTGCGGGTTTTAATCAGGGGCAAAACATCACGAGACTTCAGAAGAGGTCCACATACAGATCTGTTGGTCCCAGGATTTCTGCCTCTGTCGTCCACACTTGCTGCTTCATTGTGGGATTTAGAGGCTCCCAAGATGGTTACCATGGGACTTTCACAGGAAATTTCAGCAGGTTTTAAAAAAAAAATTAAGATGCAAACATACAAACATGTTAATCATTGTATAAGTTCTGTTCCTGGGTTATAAAGGCTGCAGGGCTATCTGTGCAGACAGGGTGTTGTTCCTGGGTTATACATGTCTGTACCTGATAGCTCTTCTTGTGAAAAGGTGTACAACGCTGACTAGGGAACCACAACAATGTCCTGGCTAGAGAAAATGTGTCATCCATACATTTCATGAAGTTTCTGGCACCCAAACAAAGTTTTCATGTTTTACTCAACTGTCACTTTTTTGGAACCAATCAATCAGGAGCAAACATCTAAAACCCAGGAACAAACCTAGATTTAAAAAAAATCCTGTGATTTCCAATTGCAGGGACATACAGACATTTGGAGATGCGGATTTTCGGCTCATCTGAAAATCTCGTGTTTTTTGCTGCTTGTAATGCTTCTTCCTGTGTTTTGAGAAAATGGCATCTGGTCACCCTTCTGTTTGCTGTGGCTCAAGGTACTGTATGGACAGGCCCCAAGACACTTGGAAGGGAACTTATTGCTTTGTTTATGGAATACATGCTGCTGCAGCCCAACACACAAAACCTTCTGGCATCCCCCTAATGCTGATGCTGTTAAAAGAAAACCCTAACAGATCAGAGGACAAAGAGGAAAGGGAGTGTGCTAGATGAGGATAAAATTACTTGCTTAAAAAAGCTTCTCTGTCAGAGGGTTTGTATATAGTTGTGGGGTATATAGTTCTGAAGGGAGCAAATCCTGTTCCTACCCATTTCTCAAGTAGTACTTGCAAACGGAAAGGAATTTCTGTGAGACAACATAGTCATTCCAGGTGACATGTCCTGAAAGAAACAGAGAAAGTGCTAAATGATAGTTGTTTGGAATAAACAAATAAATAAAGACCACAGACTATCTTTCAAATATGCTGAAATACAATTTAGTTACTAGGTCAATTGGGTGGAACTTAGATATACACAATGACAGCTTGGAAGTGCTGCCCTAGGAAGCATCCAGCACTGAAATGACTGGTTCCATGTAAAGCTAACTTGTAGATGTGGCCACCCAATATGCAGCTACCCGCATCTCAGCTGCTGCTTCCCTTCTTCTGGGTCACCCTCAGTTTTGCCTCACCCACAACCTCTTTACCTTGTGAAGAGTAAGGTCCCCCTGCCATCTCACATGGCTGGAGACGTAGAATCATAGGATCATTGAATTGGAAGAGATCTCGCGGGCCATCCAGTCCAACTCCATTCTGTCAAAAAGGAGGAAAATCACATCCAAAGCACCCCTGAAAGATGGCCATGCAGCCCGTTTAAAAGTCTCCAAAGATGGAGTCTCCACCACACTTTGTGACAGAGAGTTCACTGCTGAACAGCTCTCACAGTTAGGAAGCTCTTCCTCGTGTTCAGGTGGAATTTCCTTTCCTGTAGTTGAAGCCATTGTTCCGTGTCCTAGTCTCTGAGCAGCAGAAAACTCCCCCTCACATATGGCCCTCATCATGTCTCCTCTCAGCCTTCTCTTCTTCAGTCTAAACATGCCCAGCTCTTTAAGCCACTCCTCGTAGGGCTTGTTCTCCAGATCCTTGATTATTTTAGTCAGCCTCCTCTGGACACATTCCAGCTTGTCAACATCTCCCTTCAATTGCGATAACCAGAATTGGATGCAATGTGCTTGCAGGTGTGGTCTGACCAAGGCAGAATAGAAGGATAGCATGACTTCCCTGGACCTAGACACTAGTCTCTTATTTATGTAGTGAGGCCACCCTGTCTAATATAGCACAGTGGAGCAGGAAGGTTAGCGAGTTAGTTGCATCAATCCACACATTAGTTACATGAAGTGGAGGGGCTGTGACCCCCATATGATGAAGTGGGTTTCCACCTTAAGCACCAGGAGAGCTTGAGCCAACCTTGGGTTTGAGCCACAGTCTTCCAATGACCATATCATAACATACCATAATCTCCATAGAGAGGATGAAAGATTTGTGATTGGTTACCAGGGCCTTTTCAGTGTTCCCAACGTCCAGCATTAGGAATGAGAATTCTGCTTTGGGAGGGAAACAAGAGGAATTCCATATTTTCTTGTGTTTTCTTTCCACACGGTTGCTTGTATCACCCACGGGAAGTTTCATTCTCACTTATGTTGCTCTCCCTGCTCAAACCATGCAGCACATTGAGATCAGAGAAGTTTATTAAAAAGTATTTTCTTACCGTTTATCAAACGCCAGGATCCCAAGTAGTTTTCTCCAGCCAGTCCATCAGGCTCTTTGGGAGGAAATGACTGGAAATCAAATCTGGAACCATCAGTCCACACAAAGTTTCCCTCCTGTGGAAAGATCCAAAAGGTGTTGTTGTGGGTCTTCAAGTCATTTCTTATTTATGACCGTAAAGCCCTGTTATGGGTGTTCTTGGCAGAATTTGTTCAGAAAGGGTCTGCCCTTGTGTGCTGTCGCACGCTGGGCCTGTGCATATGACTGTAGACAGGACATAAATTCTGTGTGCCCAACGGGACGCCAGGGCTGCCTCAGATTAAAGGCCCTTGGACCTCCCCAAAACAAAGTTCTGTAGAGGCTTAAAGTAAGTCCAACAAAGTTCTTTATTGATGAAAACAAACAGGTACTTTAAAGCTTTCTTAACAGTCTATTGGCTCTTGCAATCTTGTTCACTGGGAACAGGCACTATCT